TACTGATGTTGTGTATTCAGCCAGCGCAGAGCCCTGTGTGTGAGCTTTGTTTGTCTAAATGACCACTAGACTTCCTTCAATTCTTTCCCAACTTAGTTTTCCTGCCTGAGTTAAGCCGGGCTAAATATAGTACTCACACAAGGCAACGTGAAAAAAAAAAGAAAAAAAAAAAGCTGTGCAGGAAATGTATCACAACACACTCGTGAGCATGTTCATCTTTGTTTTTTTGTGTCTTCCTGCAGCAGATTCCAAAAACAGTTCAGGAGAACGTTGTTCGGTGAATGCGACACAGTGTTGCAAGCGTTTGATTTGTTTTTGGATTTCTCTCAGAGTGATGACCGACAGCCAGGGTGGAGCCAGTCCATGTGAGCACTGCTGCATTGTTGTTGAGGGTCAACCCATCCTATATTCCACTCCAATGACGTTGTACACATTGTTTTGTCTCTGGGCTTCTAAAAAGGTCTGCCTAAACAAAAGCACTGACAGCACATCCTGCTGTCTGGCTGCACAAAAAGAATTCAGCTCCAGCTTTGATTGTTTCACACACATTCAGCTGGCACCACAGCCACCGTGCGGGAATCTGGAGTCTCATTTATGGAAATGTCTCACGGTGTTGGACATGGGGTTCAGGTTTGATTAGATGTTTACTGGAAGTGTGGTGAGACCGTGTTCCACAAAGACAATGGCTGGTGTTTTACTGACATCTCCTGAAATGTACTCATAATCAATATTTGAATTAAAATGAAAGAACAACCATGGTGAAATTAAGCTGTTGTTATAAACCCACTGACAAGAACCTAGATGGAGTGGTAGAAATCTGTGTGTGGACGTTTATGTGACGTATCAAAATAATTACAGCCTGGTAAAAGCCAGTCTCTTGTTCTATGCTTTGCTTTGATGAAGGCTATGAAGCCTGCACTGTAAACAACTATTCCCCACTGCAAAGAGAGAAGAACTGAGCCAAACTACATCTTTTGAAAGCAATAAAATGCTTTAAACATTTCTCTTGATCCGACTTTAATTGCTCAATATTTGGAAGTGTGACCATCATGGAAGGATTGGCTTTGTTCATTTCCTCCACTGCTATTAATAAAACTATAACTATTAGACTACATTTCTAAAACAGCTTAGAAAATCAATGCTGTCGTTCACAACTCCTCCTCCGGTTCTCTGGTTGAAATTCTACGGGAGGAGTTGAGCTCAATGGAAGAAATCCCAGATGAAGAACTGAAGGAAGATGAGAATTGAGCAGAACTGCGCCTGAAGGCAGTGGCTAGGCTAGAATAATTAGACCAAATGTATAATGGGTTTGGCAGTGCAGAGCACACCAGTAATTCCAGGTTAATAAGGTGTGCCAACTCTCTGGCTTTGATGCTGTGATGGTTCTGTGAGAAATAAGCTAAATGCAGAACACAGAAAGCTCCCCTGGACAGCACACATGAAAGCAATTCTTCTGTTTTTTAATTGTTTCATTTTTAATCTCGTCTGCAGTGGAAACATTGTGCACCTTTTCTTTAGAGGCAACATCAAGTGAAATGTAACATTTATACTGGTAGTATTGTTTTTTTCTCATTATGCCACATTAGCAATGCTGGGAATGTAAAGCGAGCATCCAGTCAGGTTTGTTACTTTGGGTTTTGCTGTTTGGTCTGTTGGTGCTGTTCCACACCAAACCTGGACCTAACATGTGATTAGTAACACTGTGACCTTTGACTCTGTTCAGCAAAAGCTGACTACAACTTGATGCTGTGCTACTCCCAAACCACCACTCACTGCTGTTCATGGAAAACAGAAATAGAGCAGAGAGCATGAGCAGATATTTTCTCAGAAGTATGACACCGAAAGAGAACAGAGTTACTTTCTAGATACATAATCAGAGAAAACACAGCACACAAAGTATTAACATTTAAAGGAAAAGTACAGAAAACAAGTTGTGTGTGAACGACTTACCTCATAAAAATCCAGGCAAACGAATGACTGTCAGCCATGCAGACTGAGATCCTGGTCCATCAGAGGATACGTGGGCTCACTCAGATAATGGCTAACAACAACAACAACAACAACAACAACAATAATAATAATAATAATAGTAGTAGTAGTAGTAGCTCAGATGCAAAATGAGCGAGCAAGTGAAACAGAGATACAGACTCAGTCTATGAATAGACTTTGAGTTTACTGGAAACATGGTCAGGGTTCAGGAGAGCCCAGCCAACATCTCTCAGTGACCGTCTTACTGAAACACACAGTCTGACTAAATCTGATTCTCAGCACAGAAACACATTCAGAACTTTATTCCTGCAAAACTAAAACACATAGTAGATACAAGTTTTGTTTGAAAGGCTCTGGCTAGTTGACCATGGACAACAGGTACTGGGGGTGTCGCACACACACACACACACACACACACACACACGCACACACGCACACACACCCACACACGCATGCGCACACGCACATTTGTGTGGCTATCTTTGTGGGAACTTTCCATTGACTTCCATTCATTTCTACAGTCTAAACCTTATCCTAACCCCATCCATAACATTCCAAACCCTATCCAAAACTCAATTCACACCTTAGTCCTAAATCTGACCCCTGACCCAAAAACAACGTTTCCCCTTTTGGGGACCAGGCTTCGGTCCCCACAGGGAGCAGTGGGTCCCCACAGCGTAGTATGTGTCAGGAAAATGGTCCCCACAAGGTATTACAAACAAACACACACACACAGCTCTAAGAGAAACTGAGGCTGACTGATGAATGTGGTTTACACATTAATGGACTTTTAATATAATGTGTAGACAATTTTATGTTTTCCTTTTAGTATTTGTAAGGTTAACATGTAAGTAAGTAGGTAGCTGAGTAATTTTGATGTATATGGCACTTTTCACTGATAGAAATCTTACAGTGTGTTCATTGCTCTCCTCAATGCTTACATCATCTGGACACTATCATGGAGCTGTGAAGTAAAAGTGGCAGTCTTACTTATTGTTCATTATAGGGATGGGCACCTTTATCTGGTCATGGGTCATTGGCATGTCTTGGTCTGCCTCCATCGTACCTACAGGTCCAGAGACATGCTGTGAGCTGCCATCTTGCTTCTCAAGACTTCTTCCTGACTGTTCCTCGTGTCCATGCTAAGCTAAATAAAATCTGGTGTTTTAGTATTCTGCTCCTTCTGCATGTCATAAACAACACATCACTTCAAATCTACAAGAGCTTGTTACCTCAGACATGTTTAATTCGCTTCTTAAAAACTTGGAAGTATTCACATCTTTCAGTCTTACCACATTATCCGTCCCGTTTTAATGGTTGGAGTGATTTTGTTGTTGTCAAATCTTTTACTACTGAAACTCTGTTTTTGTGCCGAGGCCCATCTTGATCAGAGCAACTTTTATTGAGCCAAAAGACACAAAAATGTCAGGGAAGAGTTTGCATGTCAGGGACAGGGACTGGATTTGTCCCGATAAAAAACCGTGGTAATATGAATTTTGCTAGAAAAACGAGTTGCAACAGATGTGGCAGAGACAAAACCACAGAGGCCAAGATGATGGGAGTCGGTAAGCCCTTTTCTTGGTTGATATAAAGAAACATGAAATTGAACAGTAATGTTTTTAGCTGCTTTTTAAATGAGTTTTGTCAAAGGGATGTCTCTTTTGGGGAATCTATAATTCAGTCATTCTTCCTGCAGAATTTTAAATAAGTCAGGGTCAAGGCTTATTCCTCAGAGGGACTGCAGCCACTGATTAGATGATAAACTGAATATTTAGTTTGGATCCAGGGTTACTTCAAAGATGCAATTCTACGTGCCCCCCAGGGGGAATGGGGAATATTTTTTCTCCATATATTTAAAACTAAGTTTGTGATTTGTGGAACCTTTATCTGATTTTTGACATAAAGGACATGAAGTCTTTTTTTATGCATTTGGATCACACTACTACTGCTCTACCTCCAAACGTACAACACCTAGAACACTTCAAAGATGGACAAGATCATACTATTGCACTGTTCAAATAATTTGAGCAAAATGAAAAGTCAGAATAGGCAAATGCGTGTTAATATGAGAAGTCCTAGTTAAAACAATAAACATTTCAAACTTGTAAACATTTTATTTTACAGCTGGGTGGGTATGACAGGCAGACTTATTCAGTATAACTCAGCCTATAATCACATTCAGTAAATGTTTAAAGATAGGGAATAAAGGACCAAGAAGTACCATTAAATAAAACAATTTGTGGTTTATTACCAATGGATTTAATGTACATTATGTTATGAATTCACAGAAAAAGCCATTTGTTCATGTACAAATTACAAATACACAGCCTATTCTCTCCACTCTTTAGTAGAAATGTACACTGGGTTCTTCTCTCCCATTACTGTCCCACAACAGCATCGCAACCTGGCAAGACTTTTGAGTGAAACAGAGTCAGGAAAAGACAGTTAGAGTCTCTTGAAGACGTAAATGGAGGGAGCAGCAGCTCTTGTAGAAAACATGAAGCAGAGTTTAGTTCTGTGTTTTGCAGATGTCTGATTGCATCTGACAGCTGTTACACATCGAAAAGAAAAGCCCGAGGAAAGCTTCTTTCCAAACCTGAGTGACTTTCGTCAGCTCAGGCAAAAACTTCCAGGCTAAACGGCCTGATGGTGCAGTGGTGTGATGACGACAGCTAGTTCCCAGAGGTCAGAGGTCGGAGGAAGGAGTGGAACGGGCAACCGGAATCCTTGCGGTATGAAATATTCAATGATGTTTTAGAAGTGCTGTGAAACATGACAGGATCCCCCAGCATAAAGCCATATGTTGGGTTTGTCAGGAAGCTAAAAGAGCAGATCCACCTCTGCTGCCTCATAAAGCACCACTTAGAGACAAATTCAAGAAAAAAAAGATATAAACAAACATACTTTCTTTTACATGTCTCACTCCCAGAAATAAGCTTCATCAAGTAACTTTATAATTCATCTTTGTCTAATGTGTTTTCTTTATACAGTGTTGAATATAGTGGATTCAATTTTGTGTGTGTGTATTTGCATGTGTGTGTATTGTGTCATGGACTTGCTGATTTCGTTCACTCTTCTCAGATCTAAAAAGCACCTCAACTCTTTACTTCCAGAAAATCCACACATTAGCTTACAATCAACGTGACCGGGTCTCCGATAACCGTCCAGGCATTTATGTAACTTTGGCAGCAAAACACGTATTTATATAGACGTTTCCTAAGGATTCTTCAAAGCAAGTAACTGGAAACAGGAAGACCAGTTCACTACTCACATTAATCCCATCGACTGGTTGGACTAAAACTCACTTAAAGCAAAACAAAACAAATAAATCAGAACCATCGGTCAGCCATATGCGCCAGTAGAGTGGAACTAGAAAGTAATTTCTTTTATCCAGCTGACCAATAATTTACCTCTCAGGCATAATAATTTAATTGCATAAAGACAAAAAAAGGCAGCTGGTGTATATGATGCTGTTGACAACACAATCTAACAGTCCATTATAAAAATGATATAGAAATATTTGGGATGTGATAAGTAAAATGAAACATGGTTCGGATATGCTAAAGGAAAGGAAGACCGTTGCTCCCTGTGCTCCTCCTGCTCCGCGCCGACAGTCAGCTGAGCTGCAGGATGTTCACGATTCGATTGCTGCCGACAATTTTTCATTGGCCCGACTGTAGTCAGTGGATGTCCTCACAAGTATAGTATTATGAGCTTGTGCGTGTGGTTTTTGTGCCCCTTCTGGTCTCTGCCTCCTCTCACTGTGTGGATGTTTGCTGTTTGTCCGTCTTCACGCAGTAGTTGGGTTTGTCGGAGACCTTGTAGCCTGGCAGGCACTCGCAGCGGTAGGAGCCCACTGTGTTGATGCACTTCCCGTTTCTGCACAGCGACATCCGGCTGTTCAGCTCCGAGCACTCGTTCACATCTGCACGCAGAGAGAGGCGCCGGCGTGAAACAGAGGAAAGGTACAACGGGTTTATTACGTTCCAGCGAGCGGCCGCCTACCGACGCAGGCCATGCGGGACAGGTCCAGGGTGAATCCCGCAAAGCAGTCGCAGGTGTAGCCCTCCTGAACCCGGACGCAGCGGCCGTTCTCGCAGCCGTTCAGGATCCCGCACTCCTCAGCTCGCAAGCCCTCGAAGGCACTGTAGCGATCTGCAGCACAGGCATGCACCACACACAACGCCTCACCGGTTAAGCCAGGTGAGAGTACAGATCGGAGCCGTTAATAAACTTACCTGCCTTACATCATATGATCAGCATTGGAAAACAGCAGCAGTAGTAAAGTTGGAAACTTAACACGTGGATATTACCACAGAATCCTAACATCTCAGACCTGATGTCACTGCCTGGCCACAAAAAAGGTTCCCACCAAAAAAATACAAAAGATCACACACTCTAATGTTTCATTGGACTGCCTTTAACTGTGATGATAGCACACATTTGTGGGGGGGAATTTGCAGTTAAATGTATCGTTAAAATGGGGTTTAAAAAGTTTTTAATGTGATCAAGCTGCAGGACCAAAAATGACTAATAAGTGCATATAAATATCAAGCGTATTTTTCTCAATAAACAAACTGTTGAGACCCATAAAACTCAAACTAAAACTTAAATGTTGTTTAGATATGAGTTTGGTTCAGTGTCACTAATCTCTGCTACACCTTTGAAAAAATTGAGGCTCTGAATAAAACAAGTTTTAATGGATAACTACTCCTAATAAGATTTATTGTAATGGCTGTCAATACAAGTTATGTGTTATTTAAGTTATAACATGTTAAGCTGCTTTATTTTAAAACCTTTTTTAAATTTTACATGTCCAGGATGACTGAGTGCCAGAAAGTAGGTAGAAATAATGAACAATAGAGAAATGTGTATCTCTATATGATGATAAGGTGTTTCCAGTTTTCGTAAAAGGAGCTGTGGAGCTCCTCCTCCTCCTCCTCCTCCTCCTCCTCCTTCTTTGTCTTTAAAAGCAACAACATTCCACAGGAATGCATGCAGTAACAAAAACCAAATGTTTTGTAGGATGTGCTGTTCATATATAACTTAATCACATTTAAGAGTCAAGGGAGTAACTAATGAATAAATGCAGTCTATGGTATGCTTACACACATTATGAGTAAGATTTCCAAAAGACGGAAGTGCCGCTTTCATCTTGCTGTGACACAAGATGGCAGCAAAGTGCTTCCAAACCCCACTGCATTTGGCTGTCTGATCTGCGACGTTAAAACCACTGGCAGGTGAATCAGTCTAATCTGACCATCTCAACAACAGCTCAGCAGCTCTACTTGGTAGGATGCAGCTGAGGGGAACTAACAGCCAGACATGAACATCCTCACATCCTCCTGGAGCTTCTTGTTTTTTTCATCTCCTCTGGTTTGAAGAAGGAGCAGCTTAAAGCATTCCTGTGGTAACTAAATGAGTCCTGCAGTGTGCAAACCTTTTTTTTTATTTCATATTAAAAAGATAGAAAAGATGTTCCTCTGAGCACTTGTTCCTCTTCTATAACATCAACTTGTTATTACTAAAATCAATTAAAGGCAGGGATCTTTCTACCTCACCATACCCTTTAGAAAAATGAAGTAAGTATTACTAATCTGAGATACTAGTAAATTAAATCTACATCGGTGGAAAATAAGACTTCCACATGAAAAAGTAAAATAACTGATCTTTTAAGTATAAGCCAAACTTGAGCAAGAAAGCTAAATTTTTCGGTTCTTCAGATAATTACACTGGAGCCTTTCTCAATGGGTTTTCTACATTAATCAACATGGAAACATACATTACCTGATACAAACCACAGCTTTTCTGAAAATGTAATTTTTATTTGAAGTACTTTAGAGTTTTACATATGTGAAATTCTACCTAACATTGCTGGAACTTTGCTACTGTTTTTCAGGTATCGAACTAGTGAAGATGAAATATCAAGTAGATATTTCATAGCACATAGAACTGGTTTTAAATCAGATACCATTATTAGCCATGTAGGTTTTCGGTTCCCTGTGTTTTTTTTCCCCATTTTGTTCAAACTTGCCATCCTGTGTCAGTAGAAGCTGCTCTCCCAAGACAAATCCTCTAATAAAGGTTCTCAGTCATCTGATCAAACAAATGTATGTCTGAAGGGTAAATACTTACGCTCTTCGTTTTCGTAAAAGTTGCGGACATGCTGCTCATCGGGAGACGTCATGTAGTCTGGGCTCACTTCATATTCATGAACCGGACCGGCAACCAGGGCATCTTGGCCATAAGGCTGTCGCCTCCCACCCAAAGGAATGTTGCAGATGTATGCATAGTCCTCTGAGGAGAGAAAAAACAGTTTGTGGAGAAGAGAAACTAAAGAATAAGAAATATCTGAGAAATAAGTGAGGTTTATCAAGTCCCAAAGTACTTCACGCTACTTTCAGTCATTCTCCCATTCACATGTTGAAGCTCCTGGATAGTAGCCACAGCTGTTCTGGCACAGACTGACAGAGGGCAGGCTGCCATGCGCTGGAGCCACCTGTTCGGCCCTCTTACTGCCACCAGCAGGTAAGATGGGGCTGAAGTGTCTTGCCCAAAATCACAATGTCTGAAACCGAAGATCAAACCGACGACCCACCGACTGCATGACGAACTTCTACCTCCGTCTCTACCATCGTCCCCATCATCAACTAATGACAGTTATCAAGATTGCTCAGCAGAATTAAGACTTAAAAATATACTAAAACTTTGTCTTAATGTATTAAAACTTTACATTAACAGTGAAAATAACAGGCAAGTCAAACTTAATCATTATTCTTCCCACTTTTCAGAATAAAAAAAAAACACCTTAAGTGTCAAAATATTTTGTAAGGAGGAGATGCACTTATGTCGCAGAGCTGTGATATACCAAGTGCATCATAATTATGTGTCTCTGAGTTGCGTACCTGAGTTTCGGGGGGGACACAAGGCGCACACCATCCCCCAGGCCTCTCCGAAGCGACAGCAGCACTCGGTGTAGGTGATCTTCCTGTTGGGCCCCAGAGGCCGCGTGCACATCTTGTTTTCTGTGACTGTCTGCCAGCAGATCCCCTGATAGTTCAAATCCTCCATCTCTTGTTGCTCTATAAATACAGCCAGTCTTACTATCTAGAAGGAACCACACCCTATGGGCTCTGTTTGCACTCAACTGTAAAATTATGTTATCAACTGGAATATCATATGCAAATAATACCAACACTGTCATTTATTAGTATTAGTGGTTGCTAGTGATCAGAATCATTCAGTTTCCTTTGAGCTACTGGGGAATAGATTTCACTTTTCAGCCACATATTTTACTTTTCATATCTTCATACATCATTCTGCTATGGAGCATCTATGCCTTTACAAGAGAGTATTGTCTAGTGTTGAGATAAGATCGTAGGACAAAGGAAGCTAAAAAAAGCCTTTTTGTGACGTACTGACTGCAGCTTCTGAAGAGAAGTCTGTCTGGATGCAAAGTTGGACCAAAAGTGGTGGGATTATCATAACCATAATTTTAATAATCATATTTTTCTGCTTTTGTTTACGTGTGAATAGTTTACGTGTCTGGCTTCTCCTGGTGCAGAATTATGATGCATGTATGCATCAACGGAGTAAAAGTCGGATTGAAGGCAATGCTTAAAGCTGCATCACTGTCCAGCCTGCTGCATACAGACATCAGAAGTGTTTACAGGCTGCATAAGCAGACCAGAGCTTTACAAAGTCTGGAATCGGAAATCAATCCTAAGGCTCTGATTGGTTTATTTGAACTGATGTGTTTTTTTAAAAGATGGGTAAATGTGATTTTTTTGTTTTGTTTTGTTCACATATTTCTTCTTTTGCACTAAAACAGTTTTAAAATACAGAGACTTTAATGAAAAAACTGAACTCTCACCAGCCATCTGCGGATGCATAACACAGCGGTTACTGTTGGAGTCCAGCACCATGGGGGGTCTACAGAAGCAGTTGAAGGAGCCGTCTGTGTTCAGACACTCTCCTCCATCACAAACAGACTCATCCAAACACTCATTGACATCTTCAGAACGGTGAGACAGACAGACAGACCATATTCATTAGCTAGACGATGAAACGGAGCCGTTTGACTCTCTAGAAACACGTCTCTGTTTTACTGACCTGTGCACTCCAGCTTGACCGGGTCATAGTAGTGTCCGCTGGTGCAGTAACACTCATAGCTTCCCTCTGTGTTCCCACAGTAGCCGCCTTTACACACCTCCTTATCAAACAGTTTGCATTCATCTGCGTCTGCAAACAGAACAGAACATGGTCTGTTTGATCACCCCTGAAAAACTCATCTTTGTGCATCTACACTTCTCAGCAAAACACGCCTTCAAAGCTCAACAAGGTCTGCGGGGGCTGGGGAGCAGTTGTTTAAAGTATTCTGCCTTGGGTAAGAACTTCCGTCAGCACCATGAGTTAACACTGCCCCCACCTGATCAGACTGTTCCCTTCCATGAAGCAAACATCCACTGTTTTCCAGTTTGCAAAGATGGAACTTTGACAAACTTCCCATCTGCTTGTTGCTTAAAGCTGCAGTACGTAGCTTTTACAAAAATATGTTCTTTTATTAAAACTGTCATCGTGTTATGACAATGTGGTATAAGACTTACCTGTAAAAAAAAAAATTGGATCTCCTCCACCTCTTCCCTGAGCTACTATTGCCATCTAAAGAAATGCACCGCTGTGGGGTTCAGCGTGGTTGACATGACCAAACACCTTTGTCCACTAAAAACCAACTTCCAGGAAGTCCCCTCAGATGTGTGCTTAGCGATCTGGCATTCTCTGTGTCAGCAGTCTGTTCAACACAAAGGGGCACTGCCTCCTCACTGATTGCACATGCAAAAAAATGCATCATAAAACTCAAAACTGAAACCCATCACCCACACTTGACCGAGGCCCAATCAGATCGTTACAGTCGCAGAGGATTTCAAGCTAGTGGAACTTATTCAGTTTGTAGGGACAAAAACAAAAAAAACCTGCTACAGAAACAATAAGATGGCGCTTGGTGCGTACAAAATGAAGAAGAGTTGTTGATAAAAATCATCATTACCAGATAACACCTTAAAATATATCATGCCTTTAAATTGGATCAGGGTGAACTGCTTCCACTTGTCTTACCTTTGTAAGTGCTTGAGAACATTACTCCATATAGCAGGTCTTCTTTGGGAATAAAACCTCTTCCGGATGGACACATCTCGGTGAACTGGTCTAGAAGAGAGCAGACACGGAGGATCCAATATAAGCTGTTCTGTTTGCTGCAGATTGTTTCCATAAATACAGTTACATACTGCTGCTGCATCCTGCAGGGACCCCACTCTCTGCACATACAGTCATTTGGAGGAAAACAGTCAAAACTTTTGTGATAGATTTTCATGGATAGGGTTTCCACGGAGACAGAATGGGGACTGATGGATGGATGTTATTGGAAACCAAGGACTCACACTGACTTCTAACTGAGTTCTCCAACCGTTTCCTAATTGGGAGTTTATCGTTGTTTGATTTTAAAGCTGATCAACCTTAACAACACACTGCATGGAGACGCAGGTTAGAAATGAGAGGCTTGGAGGCATTCTGATCCACCGGCTCACCTGTGCCATTAACAGGACAAGGGTACACCTCACAGTTGTCCCCCCAGCCAGCTCCAAGAGTGCAGCAGCACTCCTTCAGCGTGACGTGGCTGCTCAGCACACTCTCACAGAGGTTCTCGTCACTAAGATGATAGTAGCAATCCTTCCTTTCCACTGAAGGCGCTGAAAAGAAACCAACAGAAAAACATGAACTGAAATTGTAACTGATCTTCAAACAGGTTTTTAAAGCCTAAACAAGCTTGTTGAGAGATTTTTCCAGCATTCTAACTAGACCTGTCATGATGACAAATTTCGCTGGACAATAAATTGTCAGAAAGATTATTGCAATAAATGATAATATTGTTATGGAGGAATTCATGGGGAATTAAATGGTTACTTTTATCCACGTGATGGAACAGGAGACCAGATTTTAATCTTATAAAGGTCACACTAAAGGTGGTTCAGGCACCACATCATAATTGCGTTGTACGATATGCGGATTTTTATAAACATGTCTGGATGAGTAGAACCTTAAAGCTAGAAGGGCGTTACGTTTGTGAGCTATATGTCAGTTTAACTGAGAGTCTGTTGTGAAGAACAGGACATAGTACAGAACAAAATGAACAAGATGGAAGAATCAAGAAAACGTATTCTTAGCCAGCTTTGAGGTGGCAGTCTAAGCTGACAACAAAACTGAAAGAATCTATAATAAAAAGTAAAAAAAATCCATTATTTCTTTAGTCACTGGATCAGGACTTATTTTCATAGATCAGTTGTTAAGATGCTGCTTGAAATTCCAAGCTAATGAAATCCGACCTGTCTTTGGAATGAAAGCTGTGCTGTGGGCTCGTCGTCAGCTGTGGGTGTCAGTGTGGGTTACCTGTTTGAGTGGGCTCACACTTGGCAATCATGACGTTGTAGTCCAGACCATTGGGACACACACAGAGGAAGGAGCCATCCACGTTCATGCACTCGGCCTCTCCACACACACTGCTCAGGAGCTCACACTCATTCACGTCTGTGGGAGAACACACATGGAGTTTTTAATGAAGAATCTGAACTGAGAAATGTGGCAGTTTAATATAACATGGTATGTGAAATAATGACGTTTAGTGGCCAGAGCCAGTTGCAGGTTAAGCATTGTACAAACAGGCAATCTAGATTTATTGTTTTAACCAGGATTCTCCAGTATTTAGTTCCATCCATCTTCCAATAAATCGGACTCGCTTCTCTGTCCATGATGCTGCCACTACCATGTTTCACCATCAGTGTTCCTGGCGACGCATAGTTTTAGCTTTATAATACATGTATTATGTGCATATACACATTTTGGATTGAGCCCAAAAACTTACTTTGGTCTATATGTTGCTTAAAAAGCAACATTCTAAATGCACATTCTAAATTAAATGTTTGCTTTATGAGGCGGATGAGGAAAGTGACAACTCTCAAACCTCACATTTATGGTTGAGGTTAATTTATTATTTATATGGCCCATTTTTGGCCTCATCTGGTATTTTTAATTACCTTTGATAGTCTTTATGGGGACCAAAGAATTGTGGGATGATCTTAGAGCTAAAGTCTGATTTAAGTTTAGCTCAAACTTAAAGCTAGGAATCTACTAGTAATGGTTAAGTTTGGTGTTAAGTCTCTGAGTTCCAATTTATTATTTATTTAGTTTAACTACAAGCTGCAAAACAACAGCATTTGTAAAGTTTTATTTTTATTTTTTTTATTAATCCTGCATCTGTCAGGGCAACAAAGTTCAAACATTGAATTGAATTGACTTTTGAATTTCCCTATGCATTACTTATGGCAGTCCCCAATAAAGGTTTGACTTATAGCAAGTTCACTGGAAATCCTAAACAGTCATGTGTAAATTCATTTCAGTATAATCCCTATGTCATTAGTTAGGGTAAAAAGAAAAGTATGCAAAGTAAAAACAGAACAAGGATGATGATAAACAGGAAACATTGTTAAATAGTCCTGTTTAAAAAGAAGTAAAGTTCACTTTGGTTGGAGGGAAATGACACAATTAAAGGGGAGGACAGATTGAAAACGGAGAGGAAACAGACGGTGCTGGCTGATCAGACAGCAGACCGGGCTGGAAAAGAGGAAGAAAGTGAAATAACACTCATTCTAAATGGTTAGTGGTACACCACCGCTGTTGGCTTCCAGTCTGTGTGTTTGTGTGTAAGTGATTCCATGTGGAAGGGCCACAGGGCAGGGACGGTTTAGCAGCTGGCTGGACTGAACTCGGGTGGGACCAGGAAACCGTGCCAAGGAACAGATGGCAATTGTGCTTAAATGGGCATGCAGCAAATACTGTATTCTAAGTCTGGAAACAAAATGTGTGTTTTGGTGGCATTGCCCACTAAGTGTGCATGCGTGTACATGTCTGCGTGCATGTGTGTGTACCAGGTTTTTATATGCTTTTGGGGACCTATTTCTGTCTGCAGTGTGGGGCTGTAGGGACCACTGCTCCTTGTGGGGACATTTTCTTGGCCCCCATGCGAAGAAATAATGTTTTTAGGTTAGGGGTTAGGCTTAGGACTAAAGTGTGAATTGACTTTTGATGAGGGTTAGGTTTAGAAGTATGTGATGGTTTGGGGTATGGGTAGGAATATTGTGGGCGAGTGTGCGTGTGTGTGTGTGTATTTGTGTGTAGTGGCTGGAAATAGGTTGTGACAAGCCGTCCTGCTGGAGGAAATCAAACTAGATGGGAACAGCATGGAGCCTTTCAGCTACTCCAAATCAAATCTGAACAAAACCATTGGTTTTCAGCCTGATCTCCATGTCCTTCCATTCCACTGGGATGCATTATTATGCTCATTATTCTGGCTTCCAAATCGTATCTGAAGTCACTGCTATAGCCAAAGATGACAGAGGCAAACTGTAACTGCTTCAAAGATGGTCCAACTGTTCTGATATCCTTTCTGAATACAGAATCCAGGTTTCACCAGGAAAGCAGCAAAGCTGTGTAGGGAGAGCAGTACAGCCATTTTGTCATACACAAATATTACCAGTATGCACAAAGCATTAAGTTGGTCCATGGTTAAAAAAATATTCACGGATCTCCAATCCAGAACCGCACAGCATTCTGAGAGATGTAGGCAGAGGAAAGGCTTTAGCTGTTTGACCTCTCACAGCGAGCTCAGCAAGGTTAGTGGCATCAACTAACTCACTCTTCGGTTCCCTAGCAACAACCTGTTGAGTAACTTGCACAGCAGCAGTTTCAGGTTTCGCCTGACAACAATGGCGTGAAGTGAAAACTGGAGAAAACAGGAAAAGATTGTGCCACCACTTTGGCAGTATTTCAGATATTTAAAGCAAAAAAACTAATCAATAATTACTGATATTGACAGTTATCAATATCGACTGATTTGGAATGCTTATATCATAATGAGTTTCTAAATCCAGCCCTATGATGAGGGGCATGAACAGTTAGCACAGCACTGCTTCCCGGTGCCATTCTGGATGTGTCAGCTCCTAATCAAACTGACACGGTCCTGGCTAGTCTGCATGTGGGCCATATTTCATCTGGGGCTGTAACTGTTTTCATCGGTGAGTCTAACCCGATACACACTCAATGTGAGCCAGACACTCACCCTCGCAGGCGTGGCCGTCCTGGGACTCCTGGTAGCCTTGGTCACAGAGACACTGGAAGGAGCCCAGCCGGTTCTCACAGTAGCCGTGGGGCCCGCAGCGCGTCTCGTTGAGCCCGCACTCATCAATGTCTGAAAATAGCAGGAACCAGAAAAAAGCTCAATAACGGCACCTCTCATATGCCTCAACGTTAGCCTTTCGATTTTATGTTTTGTATTTTATGAGGTGTAAGAATGAAATATCTGACCAAATATCTGCCTTTCCTCACTTTCCCCTGGAGACACATTAAAACCTGCAGCATTAAGAGTAAAAGAGGAATAGTGCACTGTAATGAACGCTGGTATGCTCTATAACTAAAGGACCCACCATAAAAATATACACCCAGACTGCTACACACACACACGCACACGCACACACACACACACACACACACACACACACACACACACACACACACACACACACACACACACACACACATATTCTCACTGGAGTCTGAGTTTGCATAAATCACGAGAGAGAGGTCAACAAATATTCTTGCAAGTCTAGACAGCAAGCTTAAAGTCTTCTGTCTGCTTCTCTTCCTGTTCGTCTCGGGTTTTCGGAGGTAACAGAGGGAGCATGAAGCAGCTCTGACAGACAGCCCTGGACTCCCTCCACGGTGCTGAAAGCTGGGGCAACATATCTCAAGGAAATTGTTGATATTCTTCTCATCTGCCGTATCCTCCGAGTGTCTCAAAGTGATGGAGATATAGAATAGGGTGATGAAAACCAGAGCAGACATGGTGACACATAGCTGTTGTTTGCCTTGACAACTGCTCTGGAGAGCTGTCGGAACCTGAGGCATTGAAAATGGTTGAATCTGAATAAATCAATGGTGCCTAGAATCCAACAGAAATATTGCGAGCAGCGCCTGAAGTTAACAACATGTGTATAGAAACCAGCCAGGATTCCAGAAATGATTATTTTTAATAAAAGAATGGAGAGAAATTTTATTGTAGGTGCACACAATAGAAAACAATATATAGTTATTTCTGTACATTGTAACTGAACCCACTGAATGTGATTCTGCATCAGGATAAACCAAAGTGTTCCACAATCACACCGTTCCTACGGTTTAAACTCGTTTTTCTTAATGAGAGGAAATACCAATGCATACTACCAGTTAGGTGGTTACTACATGCTAATTACACTTGACTAGTTTAGCTGTTTGGCAGTACATTGGACCACCAGCATTTGTGGGTGTACTGAAGGCCTTTCAACCATCTCATTGCCATGGTTTCAACAGTGGATCAGGGATATACTGAGTTCTCAGTAAACTCTCTGGCCAAACAGAAGTAACTTTCTTCTGGACAAAAGAAGTGCTGATTTAGCTTTATGACATATACATATAAAACATATACTGGATAATGCATGTCATGTCATGTTCCCTTCCAATCAACCAGTGTTTTTCTAGGACTGTCTCAACATAAGAAATACTAACCCCACTGCTTGGGGTCACTTCTTTACTTACACTAGAGGTGTGTAAACCATACCTGTACCAAAGTACCGATGAAAATAGGGCCAATATTGCTGATACCGAAACAAGGTCAGTATCGCCAATACCTGCACCTGCACACTTGGTATTGATATTTTGGATCAATCCATCTACCTCCAACTTACACAGCTGGAGGATATTCAGTCTTTGCAATAGATGAGTGAAAGCTATTATTAATATCAGGTAGGATTTTTTTCACTTTTATACGTCTTCTGTATTCTAAACACAACAAGGTTCAACAGGACAGGATAAGACCACCCTTATTTTTAAAGATAAATTAGCTGGACTAATTGCAAAATATAATAATATTTATCCTTCCCAAACCATTGGTGTGTTTGTGTATGTATAGTTGTCTTACCATCACAAGAGGGCGCATGGAGGCTGGCGGTGAACCCACTGTCACACACACACAGATAGGAGCCTTCGGTGTTGAGACACGAACCATGAGGGGAGCAGAGCTCAGCCTCCTCCACACACTCGTCCACATCTGAGAAGTGACAGGCCAAGCCAGCAGAGAATGGAGTTTAAACAACTTTATCTAGTTTCACTGAGGCGTCTGGCAGCTTTACAGCAGCTAAGATGTTGGAGCCCCTTCAGTTCAAAGAGGAACTTCAACCTCAAAACACATAAACAATAGCAACCACATAAAGCAGTGTGACTCGTCACCTATACAGCTGGTTTCATTGATCTGCCTGAAGCCCTCGGGGCAGGTGCAGGTGTAGGAGCCCATGTTGTTGACACACTCTCCCACAGACACACACGGGGAAACCTCCTCCTGACACTCATCCACATCTGGATTGTAAACACAGGAGGAGGACATGTCAGTTTGTTTGGTCTATTTTTATCGATTAGGATAGTAAAACTGGAGGGTATATTTGCCACATTAAGTATTAATATGCCAAGTTTGGATTCAGATAAGCATGTTGTTATCTGAATCCAGATAACATAACAACATATCCTTTTTTGTTACTTAAAAGCAAAAAAGGAAGACAGACAAAAGAAATAAAAGCCACTAGTGATGCATCTGGCGTAAACTATAACAATCACCATAAATAGTTTGCAGAGTATACTTTGGTAAAAATAAGTTATTAGATTATCTAATTCAGTGAAAGACACAGAACAAAGGTAAAGAGAGTTTTTGTCCACATTTAGACAGGCTATTAAAAAGAAACTAATTAGTTATGAAAACATTTTAGATTTTTATTCTTGACCAATTTATCCAAAACACAGGTGCATTTCACAATATCATTAAAAAATTTTATTCCGCACTTCAATTCAAAAAGTGAAATGAAAATAATAAATAAATTATTGGTAAATCTCAGTTTCATCGATCTATTTCTCTCAGTTTTTATGTTTAGGATTGTAATCCCCTCAAAGCTGGGTTGTTTCTGTTTCTTGTATATATATATATATTTTCCTTCCACTTGATTTTTCAATAACATGCTTGACCATAGCATTCTGTGACTAATTGTAACCCAGCTTTTGGCGGATTTGTGCGGTTTTCCCCATTATTGTGTAGATAAAATACATCATCCTGAAAGCAATAAATCTATGTAATGAATTTTACTCTCTGAATATATATAAAAAAAGCATTTTAATGATGCTCTATCATACGGAGAGACACACCTGCACATCAACCACTGATAAAGTAGGTAAAAGCGAGAGCCTGACTCAGGCTGAACGATTAACGGGTAAGTGTGAGTGATAAATACAAACCATCACACTGGTCCCCAGCTGATGACACTCTGAACCCGGGTCCACACTGACACAGGAACGAGCCTTCAATGTTCAGGCAGTGGCCTCTGACACACACCCGCTCATCATGGCACTCGTCTACATCTGGAAAGATACAAAGGTTTACACTGTACATTATCAACGAAGTGTTAATCGTTGTTATGCGTTATTGCATAAACAGTGTGTTTTTCAGTATTCTTTTTCAGCAGCCAATTCTCACACAGTCAATTCAGAAAAATCTGAGAATTGACCCAGTTCAATGCTGAGGTTTAAACTTGAGCTACAATCACAAAATAATATATTTTGAAGAATTCTTCATACTTAACTAGTACATTTGAGATTTGTTGTCCAATGGGCGCCTGAGGCCGTGGAACATTTTACATTTCTGTTTTAAAACAAGGCTAATCTTACATCTTACTGTCTCACATTGACATTTATGTAATGTAAATCTGAGAATTGATCCAGTTCAGTGTTGAGGTTTAAGCTTCTGCTACAATCACACAAAATAAAGAATTTTATGTTTGGTCGATATTAAACTTATGTACTAAAGCAGAGAGCAATAGTATTTAAACTCTGGTATGTTAACCCACGACAGGAAATTTTGACGTTCACATAAAGGAACTATTGTTCAGATTTTAGGAAGAATCAGGCCGTCCTAGACCATGTTGGTTACAATAACAGAGTATCAACCTACCAATGCGATGGTAGGTTGATCCAAAGTGTCACACCTACCAATGCAGCGACCTCCTTGGCCAACAAAGCCAAGAGGACAGGCACCACAGCTGTAACCTCCAGGCTCATTGTAGCAAATACCTGAAGGACACACTGTCCTGTTTTCACACTCATCAATGTCTGTGAAGAAGAGACAAAAGAAAGACAGACAGCTGTGATTATCTGTCCAGTTTCAGCTCCTGTATGAATGGCGCTCTTGAAAAGCTCCTCCTTCTGCCACTCAGCAGACAATTAGACTGCAGGGAACTATCTGAGATACAATGCAGTTAGCATTTGGACTGGTTATATCATTCCCAGATTCAATCAGGAGATGCCTCTCAGCAGACAGTCCCATTGACGGCACATGCATTAAAATAAAAGAAAACTTGTTCAGGGCGCAATGGACAGAAAAGTTATGTTTCTGGATAACAAGGCATTAGCCACCATCTTACTATCTCACCTTGACATTTATGTAAAGTTATGTAAATCTGAGAATTGATCCAGTTCAGTGTTGAGGTTGTTCACATAAAGGAACTATTGTTCACATTTTAGTAAGAATCAAGCAGTCCTACATCATGTTAGTTACAATAACAGAGTATCAGTGAACATAAGGAGTCAGACCTACCAATGCAGCGACCTCCTTGGCCAACAAAGCCAAGAGGACAGGCACCACAGCTGTAACTTCCAGGCTCATTGTAGCAAATACCTGAAGGACACACTGTCCTGTTTTCACACTCATCAATGTCTGTGAAGAAGAGACAAAAGAAAGACAGACAGCTGTGATTTTCTGCCCAGTTTCAGCTCCTGTATGAATGGTGTTCTTGAGGAGCTCCTCCTTCTACCGCTCAGCAGCCAATTAAACTGCAGGGAACTATCTGAGATCAAATAGTGGTGCAGCTGCAAGCAAGCATTTGGACTACAGTAGTTATATCAATGCCAGAAGAGGAGACACCTCTCACGAGTTTTCTTGTGAGATCTGCATATGTTGTTGTTACTTATATATCAAATCTTCAAACAGGATATTTCCAGGGATCTGTGACTCAGATGAAGGTATTAGTCCTCAATGGAATCATCCGTTGTTCACCTCCTGGACTGCTTGTCTTCTCCCTTCTCTTTCTTTCAGGTTTCTGTCTCTAAAGGTCATTAAGTATGACACTGGGTTCAAGCTGTGGCTTAAGGCTGGTTTCAAATTGTGCAGTTATGGGCTTTCATAGACATGATCATTAGTCAAGAGAAAACTGCAGTTCATAGTGTTAGTTTCTTTTCATTGTGATTCTGCTGTGAAAAAAAAATACTTCTTCAGCCCTTAGCAATCAATTTGCTCTTAGGAAAATTGACTGCTAAAATTAGACCAGCCCACAAATTTGCTAAAGTCCTCTGGGAGGGAATGTGTCATCATGAGAGTCTGCGAGAAGGTTTTGTTACCTTTTGCCCTGCAATAAAGATAGAGATGCAATAAATTTTGCGAGACTAAGAACATGTTTTTTGGCATTTTCACGGTAGCCGAGAATGGTTTCAAATGACAGAGTAGCGCTGAAGTTTGATGAAGCCGGGCCTTTAAAGAGCATGAAAAATGAAGTTACTAATTGAAGACTTGCTACGGACTTGGACAAGAAAAAGCAGACACTCGCGTTTGTGCTGTGGCTCAAAGGTAGAGCTGGAAAGACTGCTTTGGAAACATCCACAATCTGAGAAACATTAAAAATGGTACATGGTCCGTACTTGTTTAGCGCTTTATCCAGTCCAGAGTCCAAAAGTGCTTTACACTACATTCACCTAAACACGCATGCATTCACATGCTGATGGTGGTAAGGTACTGGTAACAAAAGAGTTTAATGTCCATGGGGTTCTACATATCAGACTTTGAGCAACGACACAACCACATGAAGAAGTACAACTACCCTGCTTGATGCTACACTGGCACGTAAACTCCTGGATATGGCATGTCTTGAGGAGCAGAGTATGTAGCTTGCTCTGTCAAATCCTTGAACACAGTTCAAGTTCAGATTGAAGCAGATTTTTGGAGAAAAAAAAATCAGAGCAAGAAATGGTAGCGAGACTCGATATACTGCGGGTTTTTTTTCTTTTTCTTTTTTTTTTAAGAGTAAAGACCACAGGGCAAATTCAGAGCAGCCACATCAGTCTCAGCAAAGTACAAATCCATTTGACAAATATGGGGCATTTGTCCATTAGGCCAAAGACTGCCTGCATCAGAGAAGTGAAGTAAAGTTGACAGAAGATGAAAATATGGATAAATGTAACATTATATTATTTACTAAGGTAATGAGAGACTTTGAGATCTTCCAAACCGAATAACTGGGATCAGCTGTCATTGACACTGCATGCATGTATAAGTGGTAGCAAGTAGCAGGATAGTTGCATAAATGACCTAAGCTAAAGCCAAATTGACAAAATGCTGCAGACTTTTCAAATCTGGAGATGGTCACCTGGTACACTACCACAGAAAAAATGAACCTTCAAGCCAAGATCGGGCAAACAAATTGCCACACTGAAACTAAAGTGATTGATATTCCTTTATTGTTGAACACAATGTCTCTAAAGAGAACAGGAACTGTTTTAGACATGGAGAATGACAGAATCGTCATGTCTAAGCAACACGTTCCTCTCGAGCTCACTAGTTCGAAACACTACTGTGTGGACCTTAGAGATGAAAATGCAATTATGTGAGTGGCAAAAAAGTGAAGTCCTTATCGTCATAGCAGATATGTCTACAAAAGAGAAACATAAAGTTCCCCAAAGGCTTCACAAGTAATTTGACCACGCCTTCACAGGCTGGCTGCAGAGCCTCATTCACAGCTCTAGAAATACTGACAGACTGTCCAATCATCTTACAACAGGAGAGCAATATACCTCTCTCTCTCTCTCTATGTATATATATAAAAAATTCCCCTCTCACCCTCCATGGGTGGTCTCTTTCATCCTCTGAGCTCGGGTCCTCTACCAGAG